GCCCTCCATCCATTTTAACACATAATTCAGCACGTCTCTTCATTGAAGATCGAACACGTTCAAAGATTTCGGGTTTATTCCGTATTTGTTGACAACAGTTTTTAATTCTCTGAGTCAATTCATTGTATCAACTGACGTGACATATATATCATGTTCTTCAAGTCTCCATAGATAATAATCCAATGGATTTAAATCCGGTGAGCGAGGTGGCTAACTGGATCGCCACGTCCTATCCACCTTTTATTCCTTTTTTTCAATCTGGAATTATTAACATAGACCTGCGGCACGATACTTGTCTTCCCACTACATTTCCTTCGAAAAGTTAAGCAGTCACTCACGTTAAGAAATTATTATAAATGAAATAGGGAATTCAACTCCGATAACGCTGACTGTGACATGTATAGTCAAGATAATGACCCTTAGTGACCATCGAAGGACAATTTACCTCCGACCTTGACTTTCACACATTATGAAAATCACCATACCGAATCAATCTTCGAAAGATTATAACAGTCATCACATATTACAAAGCTATCCAAAAAAAACTAAAATGACTCTGACTCATATTCTTAAAGCCACGACTTTGAATGATCATCGGACACTTTCAATAGGCGACCATTGAGAAGCTATTAAAATTAAAATGGACATTCACTTTCGATGACCCTGACCCTCCCACAATATGAAGGTCAGCACATCGAACAACTTTCGGAAGGTTGTAGCATGTGTTACATACGAAATTATACAAAAAAATTAATACAACTATATCATTCATTGACTCATATTGTCAAGGTTACCCTGAATGATCATCGGACATTTTAATAGACGAGGGTGAGAAAGGTAAAAGAGAGTGAGAGGCGAAAAAAAAGGGATGATGGGAAAGAAGGAGAAGGGAAGGAGGAAGAATTGATCGAAGTTGGAGGTGAGTGAAAGGTGAGAGAGAAGAGAAATGCATGTGACTGCGGACAGAGAAGGAGAAGAAGAAGACATTATATTTCATTTTTCACGAAAATTATCATCACTTTTTGACCTTGTATGGCTTGACCGATTTTTATTTCTTTTGGCTCAAATTACTCGTGATGCCGCCTTTCAGGATATGTTACGTGCGGTTCAAAATTTTTTATATTTTAGTAGTTCTGTACCCCCAAAAAATGGACTTTGGTGATTCGGGATAAGAGACTTGTAGTGGCTTTATGTCTTTTTTTTTAACATGGCCGGAGACATTACCGCGTCTCCTGATTAGAGCTAAGTTATAACTAAATAGAGGATCATTATATTTACAAACTAAAAGTAGATAGATAAAAAATAATGAGAGAAGAAAAATCTTAATTTAAATAGTATAATGTTTCGCAGTATTTCACAATTTAATATTCGATGTCGTAAAGGTACCATAGAAAGTTCGACTATACTAAGCTTTATCAGCCAATTGAAATCACAAAACTTTACATACTGTTTAAACGTTGAATAAACTTTAAATTAAATTAAATTACACAATATATGGTGCATCACGGCGCAATAGATATCATATAGAACGTCTAAAAGATTATTTCTTCATTGGACGGCAAGAAAGAGCGAGATAAATTATATATAAAATTATGTGTGTAGTGAAAGGTTATTTGAAGAAAATATTACTACCATTAACGGATTTATTGTGATGTGTGCGTGCATGCGTGCGTATTTGTATGTGTGGATCGAAGAGGAAGGTAAGGTTATTGGGAATTGGAAGCGAAGAAGGTGATGCAGGAGCACATTAGAACTAGGTACTTGTAACTTTAACTGGATTCAATTGGATGCAATTGGATTGAAAAACTGCATTCTTATTCAAAATTTTTAATTGAACAGTTTTCACAATGCACAGAAAAAGCTAATTTTATTTTTAGATTGAAAGGTATATGCTCTATGCAATTCCTAAATGAATAAAAATGCATTCAGGATTGAAAAGCATTCATTTTAACATTCGTGAATCAATATTTCTGAAAATCTGAATCCATTTCAATCCATTCTCGTTAGCTAAGTAGAGTATATACGATTACTAAGCTATTCCGTTCGTTGGAAGGGGAGATATAGAGTTTAAAAAGTACCGATCCCAATCAATCGATATAGAATTTGACTGGTATGGAGGAGGAAATGGGAATCGTTCTTCAATTGGGAAAGAGGAATAGGATCTCCTGAATGACAGCGTCAAGGACAGAAGGAGTAATTAGATCTATTGTTGTGTTTCTTCGGAGATTAGAGAGTATGAAACTCTCTAAGAAACCGTCATCGATCGGTTGTGGTGACACACTTCGGCTAGGTGGACGGTTCCGCCTACTCCTTCGAATACACAGGGTTTGTCTGTTTTTTTTTTGTACTACGCACGCGCACTATAACGGAATCGAAGAGATTAAATATAGATGTATACGTTAGATATGAATTAAATATATACATATATATGCATATATATTTTTATATCCACACGGGGGACATATGTGATTGAGCGTATAACAATCTTACTGTTGAGGTGTGTGAGATTGCTTGGTCCATAACCTTCGGGATATTTGACTTAGAAGCCCCGCTGTCCACGCAAGAATACCAGGAGGTAGTCTGATGGGGAGTGCCTTGCTGATTCCAATAATTCGATGGACTCGAGCACGGATATGCGAACTTGACGTGAACGGATCTACTGGCATGGTTTTTCACTAGGTTTTTCACTAGTGAACCGTATCGACGGTGAACCGGGTTATTTTGACTGACGATCCGCGTTTCTGCAGGACCTCTATTTATACCCCGAAAAAAGGGCATAATGTCCTTTATCTAGGATGCAATAGGATGTCAGTTGCAATTTCGCGCGAGATTTACGATTTTTATAACGTCCTACTGTAAATCTAAAATGCAGCGTTAAAGAGGAATCGAGAAGAAAAGAAATGATTTACGTTTTTCTTTAAAAAGACAAGATTACTCCAGACGGATGACGAATTCTGTTATCCTCGCGGAAAATATGACTAGGTAAACAGTTACCGTACACAATTAGTTTTGCGTGCAGGGCAACCATTGTCAGTCGCAAGTTCGATCTTAGATAACGTGGGAAGTTATCCCACGTTACGATTGCGTTTTACGATTTTTTTAAGCGCGACGTAGCGCCTGTTTTTCTTAAGATGAAATTATTGGTCAGCCTGGAATGATACAGTTTGGATTTTTACTATTGCGTGATTTAGGTACATTTATAATGTCTTTCGCAATCTTGTCACCCTTTCAGGCCTGCATTAAGGTTGTTATTCTTTCCGAGTTTATTGTTTACGAGTTTTCGCGGAGCTTGTCTGGTCCTTCTTTTCAGTTCTGTCAGACCGTTATCAGAGGACTCCACTCGAGTCTCATAGATGCCAACCGATGTGGAGCCGACTCTTTCGAGAAAAAAAGAATCGTGGTGTCTACAGGACGTAATACTTTAGTTACTGAAAAGGAGGCGATGTGATGTTTGTGAGAATTGTCAACAACATGAGTGTGATATTTATCCTACTTGTACGGATATGACGAAATTTGGAGATAAGGGAGGTAAGGGAGGTTCAAAAGCATGCATTAGAAGATATC